TCTTAAAATGTCTCCACAAACTGTCACTATTGTTTCTACATTGTCATCCATGTTTGGTTATTCTAAATTCCCGTTTGCGATGTTGGGGTTTTACTGGATTATCCTCTGGACTCGGTTCGTGTTGCTCCTGCCTTGAGGCTGAACACGAACCGATCGAACCTGTTGGACCTTTATCAGCTCTGTGGTCACAGAGGTTTGAAGAATCGGCCTACAATCCTTAAATCTTCCCGTCTAAACCAGACTTAAGACTCACAAGCTCTACTCATCTCTCGACCACTGCCCTTACGCTATCTGACTCTGGTCGCTATGGTAACGTTTACATATCCCTTCAAAATAAGATACAAATGTGCCACAAAAACGAGCATTTTACTTTCGTGAACATTTTAACTCACGAAAATGACTAACAGAGCCCTGAGCTTGTTTCTCTGCAACGAGACGGTCCCATCAGGGAGTGATGGAGACAATGACACCCGAAGTGTTGCTTATATCCTCAGCCTGCTTGGTCTCTATGTGGCGAAGCAGCTTGAAGCTTCATTGAGAATCTGGTTAAAGGATTTTCAAAATAAAAGATCCTCCAGACTCAATACATAAAACGGAAATATTTATTTATTTCTTGCGCGGCCCGGTACCAATTGGGGGTTGGGGACCACTGCTGTAGTGAATTTGAAAATGCAACTTGAGGTATTTTGAGTAAAACATGTTAATAAAAATATGTTTTATTTATATATATATACACCGATCTGTACAAAACTCAACTGACAGACAGTAATGTGTACAAACAGAAAACAATTACTGTCTGTTATTGATGATAAGGACGTATTTAAAAGCCGTTAAATCCTTGGTGTTTCCATACAAAACCTTTCCATTCTGGCTTAAATGTTTGCTTTGGCTTCCACCTTTGAATACCTGCATTGTTCACCTCATGACATCATATTTAAACAGGCTTCAGGCCAACAAAGCCTGAATGGACAGTTTCTTAAATGCAACCAGAAAATAACTCCATCTTTCATAAACAAGCAGCCCTTTGTTGACCTCAGCAGGCCTTGTGGCCAGTTAGACCAACCGGAAGGAGGAGGAATCCAAGCAGAGCTCTGAGTTTCAGTGTTTGGCTTTTTAATGACCGACAGGCGGCGAGCGAACCGACCTGAGAGCGTGGATACAGTAGACGCAGCGCGGCATGTTCTTTCGGTCGTATATGTCTGTGGTTTCTGGGTAGAAGATCTGAAACAAAAGCAGTGAGGTAAGAAAATCAGCATCATGTTGGAGCATGTGTGCAGAAGATGAGCTCATGGTGAGAATTACACAATGTTCATGATCATTTACACACCCAGTGGCAAAACTCACTGCTTTGGAGTCAAAAACCTCCTTTATACTGGACACGGGAACCAATAGCCCCAATTTTCCTCTATGTCACCAATCAGAGTCATTCTCGTGATGTTAGCTATTGATTTCCACATTTTTGGGAGCAAAGATCAGCATTTAAAATTCCTTTGAAAGAGTTGTGCTCACCTTTGGCAGTCCCTTTTCTGCCATGGCGTTGAGCCACTGGATGACGTTGTCTGTGTGTCTGAAATGGAGGCCGGTCGCCTGCAGCAGAGAAACACAGAATCAGAACTGAAGAAAACACCATTTCTGTCTTTTGAAAAGCTACTGTTACATTTTGGCGGTGCGAACTGTAAGAGGAAACCTTATTCATCTAAACGCGTGTCACATGAAAATGAGTGTGTGTGCTACAGCGTCTGGTAAAAGAGTTTATACTGTGAATCTTTTACACATTTCGTCTTGTTGCACGTTTACAGAAATCTGTGCATTTCACTGGATTTTATGCTGCAGTCCAACATCAAGAAAATTGAGGCGAAAAATGTGGATTCCATCAATTAAGTGATTTATTATGCTTCTTTTAAACTCTAAATCTAAATAAGCTGCTGGCCCCGCCGCCCACCTCAAACCCGCATGAAAACGGCTGCAAACAGAAGTGAAATTATACAACCGCACATCTTTGAAAAGCAAAAGTGGAGCCTCCTGTACAACCTACAAGAATGCAGCAAGTGGTTTCTGGATGGTAAGTGAACAACAAAACATTTGTCTTTTCCAGCAGCCATTGTACAGCGCATACAGTTTGGGTTGCTAGACAACAGGTGGAGCTCTGCTGGGGTTGCTAGGTAACCTGACCAAAAAACATTAACTTATTACCAAAAATAGCTCGGTGTTCTTTGGGGGTTCTTAAAGCACTCGGGCTGTTTCAGTAGTAGAAACCCAAAAGGAAATGTAAAAATTTGTGTAATCATGTGAATTAAACATATAATAACAGATTAATCTCTTCCTGCTGTTGGCTGCTGCCACTGTTGGGCAAATATTGATGTCAAACTTGTTTACTGAAAATGTTGTGTTTTTCAAATGACATTCCTTTCAAATAATTAAAATATGCCACATTTAAATACCATTCTGCACCTCATAATCCAAATATTTATTTTCTGTTTTCTACTCCTGTCAGGTTAAAACCAACAGTCATAAAACTTGATGTAAGCTAATTATGCTAATGATAGCAGGTATGTTACACACAGAGCAGCTCAGGAGCGATAAAGCCTCTGGTGTTGACATGTTGGTGTGGGGGCCCCAAATGATAACATAACTAGGGCCCCAAAAAGGTTTTATCCGGCCCTGTCTGTCATTTTTATCTTTTGGATGAAAAACTGATTATGATGGGAGTTTCAGTCAAAATGACAAACAAGAGAAAAGTCCAGCTCAACCTGTGGGTGATGTGAAGAGTTTGTAAGTCAGACCAGAGTGACTTTTCTTTCAACAGATGATCACTCTTCCACATTTAATACCCTAAACTAACCTTTACTAATTTACCCTCTGAACCTTTTTACTGTATTTTATTGAACGTAAAAAAAATAAAGGAAAATCTGAATTAGTCTCAGTGGAAAACATCTAAAATCTTCTGACCTTGTAGCGCGTCTGCTCACGATCGTAGATCTTCTTGAGGGAAACCGTCTGCGGGGCAAAGAAGTTGCCCAGTTTGGCCAGATAGACGCCATTTCTCAGCCCCTCCTCCAGCTCCGTTGTCGGGGGCAACTCCTCGTCCAGACAGGCCTCCATCCATCTGCGGAGGAGAGAGGAGGCAAGCATGAAGCCAAGCAGCAACTTCCTCCGCAATGGCGGGAACGGATCTTAAACCAAGGCTGATTCTGCACAAACATGTAGGGCTTTAACAATTAATCAGATTAATCGTGAATAATCAATTAGTAATCATAAACTAATTTATTAATTGATTAATCATTAATCGGAGTATACAGTCAGAAAAAGGCCATTTGTTGATTTGTTGTTAACTGAAACAAAAATTTACAAAAAACAGAAATTTACATTGAAGATAAAATAAAAAACTAAAATGTCTCCTCGTGGCGTTTCTGTAAAATTTCTCTTGTTAAGCACCTTTTGCCATCCATGTAGAAATTGGCTAAACTAAAAATAAAAACATCAGCTCTACGCTGTCGAGCAGAAAAGGCTGAACTTTTCACAGACTGATGTTTGAAGGATTTTTTGTATCTTTAGTTACTATATTTTAGGCAATAAAATGTTAGTTTTCTTATTTAAAAAATTAATTTAATAATTTCTTTATATTCATTTTTATGTAAGTTTTTTATTACATAACAAAGGCTTGTGGTAAAATGAAAAATCTGCAGGATGTGGCATTTATTTGATCTGCTTAATCGATTAATCATCAGAATAATTGATTACTAAAAACATGCAGCATGAAGTCTGTAAAACAGCGAATCTGAGACTCAAAGTGATGTTCTGCACATTCTGTCTGATGACTAATTAGTTATTTTTTATTTATTATTACAGCTCCGTGCCTGCAGCACTCAGTCAGCGCTCCCAGCATCCCTCAGGAGTGACATTTCATTTCTTCTAGGTCATGTTATGAAATCACATTCCTGCTGAGTCAGCGCTGGGCCATGGTTGAGACGCGCTGCGCTCCCTCACTGGGAAGACTGGATTCAAACACCAGCAGCAGCATCTGGCTCAGTTACACCACTTTGATAAAGACAGTTAGGATGTTTACTTTGAGAGTTTGAACATAAGTTATCTTTTCATCTCAGATGTTGTGGTTCTCATGTAAAACTCTGCGCTCACTCAGAAACCTTGCTGCTTACCAATATGCTCCTCTCTAAAAACTATGCACAAACATTTCTCTCCTGTATCATTTCTACCTATGAAGGTAAAAGCCAGAACCAAATGACATCAGGTCGGTTCTTCCACCCAGTTCTTGTTGCATTTTCTGTGCAGAATTTATTTCCTGCACAATATCTGAGATATATAAAGTTTAATTACTGCAGGAGAAAAGACTTGAGACTTCTTTGGATTTTCCATTTCACACTGCAAAAACAAAATCTTACCAAATATCTTTATCTAGTTTCTAGTGCAAATACCTCAGTACACTTGCAATAAGACAAAACTGAATTAAGTAACTTTTTAGCAAGATTCAGAATTTATTTTAAGTCAATCATTGCTTAATTTTACTTGTAATACAGGAGAAATATCCACCAGTGCAACTAGAACTTTTTCATCAATTTTAAGGAACTACTGACCTAAAACAAGTTCCCATATCTTGCTGGAAAGTTACTTGTATGCTATTTTTGTCTTGTTTTAAGAAAACCAACTAATTTCACTAGAAACTAGACCAGAAATACTTGGTAACATGTTGTGGTTTTGTAGTTTAGCTTTATTTTTCGTCTCTCACAGGAAAACTAGAAAAGATTGGAGTTTCAGCCAATAGAATGACGGCGTGTCGCTGCAACATTACGGTACGCTAGTTTTACTAAAAGTGTTCACAATAGGCGGTTCGGACGAGACAATTCAACTAACTGTCGACAGAAACATGTTGGAAAAATATTTTCTTCTTCTAAAGGAGTGCATTTAAAACATGCATTTAAGACATGCAGCAGTGGAAATGCGTCCCGGATGTACGGAGCGTCACGCTCGCTTTTATTGACGTTTGTTTAGGTTTAGTTGAAGAATCAGATTTTATGTTGACATTGTCCACGACTTTAGCAAAATTCCATACTTATATATCGTGTTATACAACAGAGTCTTCAGTCAGAGGCCTGTTCTGAACCACTGTATTACAGACTGCTACAGGAGATCCTTCCTGCTCACAGCCATTAGTATCTACAATAACTAACTGGAGGAAGTTGGATAATACAAATACTGAGTTAATTATGTATTTTTTAATTTCAAATCCTGTTTGAAATTAAAACAATTGTTTCCCAAAATGATTAAAATGCAAATAATGATTAAGATATAAAAAAATTGCAATAAAATATATTTTTATCATCATAATAAATAATAAAATTACAATTGCACATAATAGAATTTTTTTATTATAAATAAATAAATAAAAAATACAATCTCCATTTACACACAATAGATTTTTACAATTTGATCCAAAACCTCAGCTCTCACTGGGAAGCTGCATTTCCATGAGGAATTCCCAGTGCCAGAGCAGATTCAGTGAAGTCCCATTAAAAAAAAGAAAGAAAGAAGAACAGCCTCTCCTTTAATCTGCTGAGAAAACACTCCCACTCCCCTGCAGCAGCAGCAGCAGGGTTACCTGTGTCCTGGGAAGGATTAAGAGATTCCTCTGCTCCTGCATGCACACACACGCATCTCTGTTGCAAGAGCTGCAAGAACAAAGAGGGGCTTCTGAAGGTTTTACTCATTAGCCTCATCTCAGGTACAGTTTTAAACAAAAAGCACATTTAAATAAAAACCACACCCCAAACAACTCTGAGCTGCTTTTAATCTGCCTCCATCAGGACAGGAAGGTCCCAGAGCCACTGGACTGTTTAACTGCCAACTAGGACTTAAGCGATTAATCGGATTAATCAATTATTGACGTAATTGTCAAGTAATTGATTAATCGTTAACTGGAGTAGGCCATTTGCTGAGAGAACACACTCAAAGCAGTAATTGAGCATAAACTATACAAAAACATAAACATTTAGCATTTAAGGTAAAGAAGTCGCTTTTAGCTTTGTTTAAAAATCTGTAAAAATATGAATCTCCTAAAACACATTTATCTGCCATGCTAACTTTCATTTGCATTCATTACAGGCTGTGCTGTCAGGAGGCAGATGCACCATTTGGAGTGGTGATTGACAGCGCTAAGACCCGCCTCCTGGCTCTGATTGGTTGTTTCCTGTTGGCACTAAGAGAAAGCAGAGGGGATCATTTTTTCCCACAGATTATCGTCTCGTGTTGTACTGCCACAACACAGAGGTTGTTCCAACAAATATATTAAAATATTTACATACTGCAGCTGAACAAACTGTGTCTTATTTTCAATGTGGAGCCTCAATTTCAGAGAGTTTCCCAACACTTGGGTTTTCCTGAAGTCTCTTGGTCTGCAGACAAATGTAAGGGCGGGCGGCTAACACCAGCTGAAACAACTTCCCTCTCAGGAAGTCGTGACATGGGGGCTTTTAGACAGGCCTGCCATTGAGGCCGGGGCGACCGGGCCGGGGCGCGGGGCCGGGGCCCTTCTCTCAGGAACAAGCCCCCACTTTCACTCTCTGCTGGCGCAGAGAAAGGCTCCATAAAGACTCCTAAGTAATGACTCTCTTTATCAAAGCTACACACTCCTTCCAGCCCAGCACAAACACAGTCACACCCTCCACTTAACCAGTAAGATCTGCAGCTCTGAATGGGATTTCAGGATGCCTTTCTGAAAACGACTCAGGAAACAAATGTACAGTTGTGTTGTGGACTCCAGGCATGTCTGCAATTCAAAATACAGCCACAGATATGAAGACAACGACTGGAATCCTAATAATCACTCAAAACATGAAGGTGTAGCTGTCTAAAGGTTACAGCTCCAACTCATTCCACACATTTTAAAGCTGTGATAAGATTTACAAAGAAAGATGAGCCTTATCTCTGACGCAATCAGAAAGTTGAAGGTATTTCTGAACTTAACTTAATAATATATGGCCATGAAAACGTACAATTAGATTGAAATTAAAATAAATAAAATAAAATATTCTGGAAATAATTGTGAAATAAACAGATGCCTTTCTGTGAATCCTAGAAGAAAATAGCGTGCACACATTGCAGCATAAGGGAAATGTAGAACATGCATCCAGATTGCTGCTAGGAAGCTGAAGTCAACCCAGAGGTCAGAGGTCAATCTCATAGGAAGAGGTCTTCTGCTGACCATCATCTCCACAGGAAGACGCCCTGACTTCAGGAAACGCTGTGGCCAAGTCCAAAATGTTCCTGCAGGATGTTACAAAACTCTTCATTCAGGCACAAAACAAATTAAAACAAAAATAAAATAAATTTCCTCCACAAAGATGAGAAACGTTGAACTTTTTGTGTCCTGAGTTTCAGTCAGAGCAGTTTTCTGCTTCAGTCGCTGTTTAATAGAGAGCAGATAATTATGGCCCAGCTAACAGACCACAATCCGTTTCTGTGTGACTGCAAAGTATTGTTGTCCTGCTACAGGGAGCGGCCCAAAAGCTTTGACTCACTGATTAAAATGAAAAAACGGGCCAGTCAAGTCTACACCACGCTTCAATAAGCAGTAAAAAAGACAAGATCTTGTATCCTTTTCTTAAAGATGAACTGGGATATTTATAGATATGATGCAAAAGGTTTTGGGAAAAAAGACTGTCAACGTGTAGGAAACATTTTGAAACTGTTGCACCTGAAAACATCTGCTTATTCACAGAAACTCATGCTTCCAGTAAAAACCAGAAAAACATTCAAGATAATATTCAGCACTGATATTTCTACACAATGTTTCTCACAGGATGGAGATTTATTTGCAGCACATTTACTGTTCAACAAAATAAGTTGATATAGAAGAATTAGAAACAAATCAAATCTGTATCACATTTTCTCAACTCTAAACTACATGAGCTTTGCTAAACTGTTGACAATAGATGTCAAAATAACAGGAAGCCAAGTCTAAAGGTCGGTCATGGATCAGATAAAATCATCATTAGAAGAACAAACTCCAACTAACTGACAGTAAAAACAGATCAGCTTACATTCACATTAAAGCTTTGAAGCCAATTTAAAATACTTTGAATTATGGGAGAT